TAATCTCCGCAAACTGGAAGCAACCCAGTCATTTAACTGACAAACGGAGAAGCAAACTGCGTTCCCTCCAGATGATGACACAGCCCTCGGGAAGCAGGACCAGGCTGCTGGTGCTGGGACAGCAGGGGGATCTCAAGTGTACTGTGCAGAAAGGAAGAGGCCAGACACACAAGGCTGCATTCTGTAGTTGTGCATGCATGCTCAGTTGTGTCTGACTTTTGTGACCCCATGGACTGTAGCTGGCCAGGCTTCTCTGTCCATGGAATTTTCCATGGACTGGATTGGGTTGCCATTTCCTTCTCGAGGGGATCTTCCCAACCCAGGGATCAAATTCATGTCTCCTATATCTCCTGCATTAGCAGGCAGGAAGCAACCAGAGAAGCCCCTGCATTCTGTATGATTTCACCTATATGACATCCTGGAGATGGCAAAACTATAGGGTCAGACTATAGCTTGAGGGTTTTAGGGGTGGGATGGGGGTGGGGAGAGAAGATTGAGCTCAGAAGGGCCATTGGAGATGTGGGGGTGATGCAAATGTCCTGTTCATAGCTTTTCTCAACACTCACAGTCCCATGCATCAAAAAGATTTGGGGTTTCTTTTGTGGTCCAGTACCAGATCCCTGGTGGCTCAGATGGTAGAGAGTCTGCCTGCAATGCAGGAGACCCAGGTTCGATTGCTGAGTTGGGGAAGATCCCCTGGAGAAGGAAATGGCAACTCACTCCAGGATTCTTGCCTGGAGAACTCCATGGGCAGGGGAGTCTGACAGGCTACAGTCCATGGGGTTGCAAAGAGTCGAACACGACTGACACTTTCACTGGACGTCCAGTGGTTAGGGCTCCAACCTTTCACTGCTGAAGGCCTGGTTGGAGAACTAAAATCCCACAAGCTGCCCAGAAAAGAAAGGCTGGGGGTGGGGGGTGGGGTGGGGGGTGATTTTTGCTGGATGCAGATTCCACTGCAGACTTTTAAAACTTCATAGGAAAGTAAACAGTCCATTAGAAAATTAGTGACTGAGGGGGTGTGGAGAAAACCTGGCTAAATTCTCAGTGGTAACTCTGGGAACCAGAAGGTTCTTTCTGGTGTTGGGATAAACAGAGGCTCCGAGGAGTGCCTCCCTGATGGCTTCAGGGGAGTGGCCCCTGCAGCCTTCACACCCCTCGACCATTCCTCTTCCTGCTGTGCCCGTAGGTGCCCTCTGTGGGCACAGGTCAGGACGGATGCTCTCGTGGGCTGGGGCCGGGGCTGTAGCTGCTTCCAGCCAGGTGGTGGCTTCTGCTCTGACTCCACCTGCAGGACTCGTCCTTCCAGCTGGGAGGGCATTGGTCTGGACGCGGCTTTTGGCCACAGACCCGAGAGCTCAGAAAGGGAGCAAAGGATTGAGGAACGTTTCAACAACAAAAGCTCTTTCTCATCCCATCAGTTTATTTTTGGGGATGGGATTTTTTTTGGTGTTTTGATCTGTAAATTGGAAAACAATAGAGTTGACATTGAATCTTGTGGATCTAGAAACTAATTGAAGAATAGAACAGCCCTCTCCATCTGTTAGATTTCACTTTTTATATTTTGTAGTTACTTACTATAACCATAGTACACTTGTCAGATTACTAACATACCAATAATAATTGTACCAGAGTATCAATCCAGAAGATTATTTTTGAGTACTTAAGAGTCTTGTGGTCAGTTTTAGAGCACATTTCTATTGCAGAGACACATGATCTGGTGTCTATAAAATAATTCCAAAAGAAATGTTAGGATTAGATCTGTGGGGGAGTGGGACGGGGATAGGGATTCACAGAGGGGAGCATGAGCTGGACACTTGGTTATTTAGGACTTGTGTGGTCACACATAGTTTTGTAGGGTGATGACAAGTGTCCAGTCATAGATGGAGTGTTGGGTGATACCCAACAGCCCCCTCCTTTGCCTTTTCATGCCTGACACTCTCGTGATGCTCTGAGTGGAGATGTGGATTCACAGACAGGTGTTCAGAGCTGTGGCCATAGCCTCGCCATCCTCTTCTGTCTCTTGTATCAGAAGGTGTCGATGTACTGGGGGAGGGGAAGCTGGCAGGCCAGGGCACCCCCTTCACACACCTGCCAAGGAAAGCTCCCAGAAGCACCTGTGGGCACATTCTAGACTGTTCTTTAGCAGGAGGGAGCCTTTGCTGCCCCAGGGTATAGTACCTCCCCCAGCTCCAGCCAAGAGGCAGCACCTGGGTCTTTCCTGGATGACAGGACCTGCTGTTGCCTTCCCTCCCCCAATCTGGCGGAGCTGCCTCGCTCCCGATCCTTGCCCTGCACCCCTAGGTGGGCGAGGGCAGCAGAGTGGTTGCGCTGAGGTCATGCTGTCTTCTGGCCTGACGCAGGGGTCACACAGGAGGGCTGAGCAGCCTGCCCAGGGACGTCAGATGACCACCAGCACAGCTGCTGGACTCATGGGTCCCCACCAGGCCCCCTGCTCTGGGGGCGGCCTGAAGCGTGCTCAGTTCCTAAGCGCTGGGGCGCAGTTCTGCGGTCTTAGGTCCCCCGAGACCCTTTGTGAGCTCACTGCCCGCTGGCCCCCCTGCTGCTGGGAGGGCCCAAGGCCACTGCTGGTTGGCCACGTTCCCACCCACTTCCATTCTTTTTCTCCCAGTTTTATTGAGATGTAGTTGACATACAGCACTGTGTACAGCATAATGATCTGGCACATACCATGGAATGATTATCATACTGTTTAGTGAACGTACATCTCATGTAGATAGAAAATTAAATAGAAAAAAAATTTCCTTATGGTGAGAATTCAAGATTTACTCTTTTTAAAATAATTTATATATTTGGTCATGCCAGGTTTTAGTTACAGCACAAAGGATCTTTGATCTTCACTGTAGCATGTGGGATTTAGCTAGAACATGCAGGATCGCTTACTTATGGCGTGTGGGATCTAGTTCTCCAACCAGGGATAGAACCCAGGTCCCCTGCATTGAGAGTGTGGAGTCTTAGCCACTGGACCACCAGAGAAGTCTATGATCTACTCTCAACTTTCATACATGTCATATATAACCTATAGCGTGTTAATTATACTTGTCATGTACATTACATCCCTGGTACTTATTTAGCTAATAAATGGAAGTCTGTACCTTTTGACCATTTCCAGTCCCTGCTTCTGGTAATGACAAATCTTTTTCTATGAGTTTAATTGGTTTACTACACTGTTAATCCCTCCTACTTCACTTTCCTGAAGTCTTTTTTTATTCCAGATAAAATGCCTAGCAGGTCACTATTGGAAACCCAGTACCAAAAAGTGACCTGTACCTCCAGCCCACCTGAAGAACTGTTCCCTCCCGTCTCCCAGACACCCAGGGCCCTGGGGCCCAGCAGGTGCAGGCGCTGCTGCTGCAGGTCAACTGTATCTCCAAGTTCAGAGCGAAGTCTAAGGCAAGCCATGTCCAGTTTCCTGTGGTCACTTGGCTACTTCCTCGAAGTGAGGATGCCAGCAGGTCAGGACTCAGGCCCCCTCCCCACTCTCCCACTGCTCAGGGGCACAGTTTCATGGAGCCCTCAGCACATGGCACCCTTGGCCCCCGGTTGACGCCTCCTGGCCTCCCGCCCTCCCGCCCTCTGCTGACCTGACCCAGAGCCTCCACCCGTATCCCTGCGGGCGTACCCTCCCCTCCACTTGCACCCCTTCCCAGAACTTGTGGACAGGCTCGGAGCTCCTGTGCATACCTTGGGGCCCTGCTAGGACAGTGGGGAGCAGGGCAAGCCTGGCCATTCCACAATACTCAGTATACATGATACTGGAATTTTTTGTCCTGCTAGCATTTATTATAAAACTTTCAGGCTCAGCTGTTGTCTTTAGTCACCTTCTTCTGATATAAGCGTGTCTGAATGTAAAGAAAAGGGCAAGCTGAGGGGCAACCCAGGATTTCCGATAATCCTATCACCACGGGGCCCTGCACCCACCACCAGCCACTGCCCTTGCCTGCCCCTCCCCAGCCCACGCCAGCACTTCACTCCTTTTATTCCAGTACGCGCACACCGTGTTCTCATCCATTCATCAGGTCATGCACACCTGGGATGTTTCCACCCCCTGGCTGTTAGGAGGAACACTGTCCTGCGTGCACACACGTTCATTCTCTGGGGCGTGTGCCCAGGTGTGGGACTGGGGTCACACCCACCAGCAGTGCCAGCGTGCGGGGCCGTCTCCGTGTCCTTGCCACACCTGTGCTGTCCCGGCTGACTGCTGCAGGGGGTGGCCTGTGTCCGGCGTGCACCTCCTGGGTGACCAGTGACACCAGGCACCTTCTGATGGCTTGTCGGCCGAACCCACCGGGAGGGGAGCCTCCGCCATGCTGGGCTGGGGTGGGAGGTGGGGTGGTGCAGGAGCTCAAACATAGCTGGCCCTTGTCTGGATTTTCTTAGAGAAAATTTCTCCATTTGCTATCTGCCCTTAGGACAATCTCTAGACTCTGGCTATGTTTTTGTGATTTTGCTAGTAGTTTTGTTAGGGAGAGGGTCTATGGCATTCCCCATTCCACCTCCTGGAAGTTGATTCCAGTCAACCTTACCTTCTGTGAGCAAAAGCTAGTCAGCAGGGGCTGTTTATTTATCAGAAACAGACTCAGGTTAATTTTGGGCACTGTTTTTCAATAAATTGGACACATCCAACCTGATGTTTCCTGACAAGTGACTCAGAGGTTTCTGCTTCACCACTGGCTACAACTGTGCGCCGCCCCCCCCCCGCCACCCCCACTTGTGCAGACTGGTTCCAGCTCCTCAGCAAGGCGTGAGCCAAGCCCCATGTAATCGTGTCCCTCCAACACACAGGCTCACCACAGCCAGACAGCAGGCCCCCGTGCTCCCAGGGACTTTCTGCAGAAAGCAGTGCAGCTGCAGGTAGCAGCCACTGCCTCCTTGATGCAGTGACAGCGCGCACTCGGGACACCAGGACTCGTGGGTTGGGTTGCTACTCTGCCAAAACAACTGACACATGTCCAGGCAGAGATGAGAAGCCACAGTTCGTCCCCAGTTTAACACTTTATTTAACGTTAGCACATGAGTCTTGGAAATGAGGCTTGTTCACAGCCAGTGGTTGGTGCTCCGAAGCCATTTTCTAGATGTTCATCTCACACGAATAATCATGAAGTAAAGCACTGATGACCACACAGCGTGTCCTCTGGTCTCTGCAATGCCTCTCAGGCAATGGCTACCAAGTGGCCAGTGCTTCGCCCCAAGAGTGAGGGACCCAGGGCCACCTCTCCCACTCAGGGTGGTGGCTCACATCCTTAGAAGAACTGCATTCCTGAAGGCACTTCGAGGCTGACCCCCAACTTACAGCCAAACGCATGGCAGACACAACCCCGTCAGTTCTGGGCGAGTGTGAACAGCTTCACTGGAGCCTTATTTCCAGGAAGACCACCTGACGGGAAGCTGACCTGACCTTGTGCCCCTCTGCCGGTCTTGGGCCTGGGCCAAGCCTCATGTGTGTCCCGAGGCCTGGCCTGAAGCAGCAGAGTACTTGGGGACCGAGACTCTTGTCACTGAGGAATCCCTGTCTCCCGCTCAGGCATCTGGCAGCCACTGCTCAGGATCTTTCCAGGAAGGAGGGCGCCCTCGCTGGTGTCCCCAGTCCTGGCCTAGGCTGCCTTGTGCTTCCGCTCCTCCTGCAGGAGGGGAGACAGGGTTGGCCCACACCACCTCCCCTCACTCCTTGCACCAGCCCTGCCCCTCCAAGGCTGAGATGCCGTGCGCCTGCTCAGAAAGAGCCTGGCCGTGGGCTGCCCCGCCCCGTCTCCTCCCTCCACCTCGGGGGTTTCCTCCAGAGACGAGCCCCCGTGGGCGGCCCCTCACCTTGATGGCCTTCTCCAGCAGGGACAAGGCCTCCTCGTACCGTGGGACCAGCGGCTGCAGGAACTCGCTGGGGGTTTCATGCCGCTCCAGCCCGGGCACCCCACCTTCCTCAAGCATGCGGAGAAACCTCCTTTCCTGGAGGGAAGCACAGGAGGGGAAGAGGTTCATCTCAGCCCACCCTGCCCCACCCCCGGCGCCCCGGGTAGAATCCAGCCCCGGCCTCCTGCTGAGACCACGAGGACTGACCTGCACTTTAAGGAGCAGCGTGAAGGCCTGTCCGGATTTTCCTGCCCGGGCAGTTCTTCCAACCCTGAAACCAAGCACAGCTGCTGCAAAGTGCTGGCCCCCAGCCCCTCAGGGATCTGAGCGAACTGTGGTTCCTCTCCAGGCCACCCCTGCCCCCAGACCCAGGGTCAGGCCCGCACCTGTGCACGTAGGTCCTCAGGTACTGGGGGGCATCGTAGTTGACCACCAGCTGCACGCCCTGCACATCGATGCCGCGGGCTGTGGCGTCAGTGCTGATGAGACTGGTGGGATACAAGGGGCTGTGGGCCCTGTCCGAGGCCAGGAGCGGGGAATACCCCCGGCAGGGGACACTCCCATGAAGTCCAGAGGCGCATTTCCTGCACCAGGAGGCCTTCAGGAGCCCAGCTGACCCGAGTGAGCGCCCCTCCCCAGAGCAGGACCCGGCCTGCCTGCCAGGTACTCACAGCTGGGTCTTCCCCTGCTCAAACTGCTTCAAGATGCTCCTCCTCTGGCCAGGCCCATAGCGGGAGGAGAACTCGGCCACGGTCACACCCCCAAAAGCCTGGACCAGCAGGAACAGCCTGGGTGGGAGAAGCCAGAGCCCAGTGGGCTGGGGCCAGAACCACCTCTGCCTCCGCTCCTGCCCCACCCTGGGCAGCCAGGCCTCACCTGTGTGAGTTCTCACGGGAGTTGGTAAAGCAGAGGACCCGTGAGAAGTTCATTTCCAAGATCAGATGCAAGACGACCAATGGTTTGAAGCGGAGACTGCAGGGCACGTAGTGATGCTGTGGGGGACAGCACGGGGTTGGCCAGGGCCCGGGTGCCTAGATGCACCCCCTCCCCACCCCCAGTGCCCTGCTCACCGTGAGCCCTGCGGGGAAGGTGTACTTCCCACCCGAATCCATGTCCACGTCAATGTCGGGGTCTCTGGGGCCCTTGTGTGCTGACCCCGTTGAGAAGAGCCGGGGCTGATAAAGGCCAAGCTGCTGCAGCTTTTCGGGGTTCTGGGTAAGGGTGGCTGAGAAGAGTAGCTTCTGCAGGGGCATCTGGGGACAGCACATGCTAAAAGGGAATGGGGTACTGGAAAAGCAGCCACAGCCCAACCAGCAGCCCCTCCAGCCTGGTGGGGAGCATCTCAGATGGGAGACGGCTCGAGGGACCAGCTCAGGGCAGCCCCACTGGCAGTCCCACTGCAGGCAGCAGAGCAAGCTCAGGGCTCGGTACCTGGCAGCAGTCACCACCCGGGGCTGCGTTCTCTGGAGCACAGCACAGGGATCCTTGGGGCCCTCACTAGGAAAGGCGGCAGCCACCACCCGCGGTAGCCAGGACTGGTGCATGCTGTCGATCATGCGGTCGGCCTCATCAATGATCTGCAGAAGACAGGAAGCTGAGGTCAGCTTCAGCTCTAGTGGGCGAAGCTCCCTCCAAGTGGGCAACCTACCAGGAAGCGGAGGTGCTGGAGGCTGAATCCTGGGGTCTGGTCGACGTGGTCCACCAGGCGGCCAGGGGTGGCCACCACGATGTCGGCCAGGCAGCGGAAGCCATCTGCTCTGTGGAGCAGAGGGTGGCTCAGCAGGGTCCCCTGACACTGACCCCTCCTACGTGGGGACCCTGTGGACGGCAGTCGCTCCCGCTCCCCTGGGGCCAGATAGCTCCAACTCAGCTGCACGAAGTGAGCCTGCCTCCCCGAGGTGCCCACAGCCCAGTGGGACCTACGTCTTCTGCACGAGGCTCTCCTGCTCCTTAGCCAGCGACTTCTGCCCAGTGATCAGTGCCACCCGAAGAGGAGTGGCATCCGTGTAGACGTTGAACACTTTGCTCACCTGGGAGAGAAGCGGCCATCACCAGTGTGATCTGAGGCCCCCCTGCAGCAACAAAGACCCTGGATCTGACCTCCAGGCATGGGGTCCACGTACCTGCTGGGCCAGCTCCTTGGTTGGCAGCACAACCAGGGCACGAACCTGGCACACAGCTCGATGTAGCAGGGCCTGCAGAGGAGGACGACCGGCCGTGTCAGCAGGGTCGCTCCCTGACTGCATGCCCGACCGGAGGGTGAGGGGTCCTTATGCTCACCTGCACCACAGGGATGACGAAGGCCAGGGTCTTCCCACTGCCCGTTGGGGCAGAAACACAGAGGTCGCTAGGCCGGTAGCCGCCTCTGCTGACCAGAAACCCATTGGCTGTGCTCTCTAGGAGAGCAGGAATCACTGCAGCCTGCACTGGACAGGGAAGGGCGAGAGGCAGGTCATGTCTGTGCAGGGACACCCAGGATTAGCACAGGCTCTGAGGCCAGAAATAGCCTCTTCCCCGTCTGTGACCTCTAGGCTGGGCTCTCCCTCAGGGTTGGCACCAGGGCCTCCAGGAGTGTCGAAGAGGCTGAAGGTGCTGAGACCAAGTCCACACCTGACACTGGACGTGTGCAGGGGCTGCCTGTGTTGGCAGCTGCTGAGTGAGGCCCTGCATGGCCCTGAACATGCTCTAGAAGGAACCCCACCCCCGTCCCCTGTCTACCTGCCCAGGGCTGGGCACCTGGAAAGTAGGATGAGATGCCCTGTGCCTGCAGCTTCTTCTGCAGGTCTGGGTGGACTTCAGGGATGTCTTCGATAGGCACCAAGCCTTCAGTTACATTCTTTCCAACGCAGCTTGGCTGAGCCAACCACACTGGCAGGAAAGGCTGGACCTATCACAAAGGACAGAAGAGAAAGACCAGGTGAATACTCCAGAGCTAGCTGGGCAAGGCCTGGGAAGCCAAGAACTCAAAACATTCAGGCTAAAGAGGCTGTAGAAACAGGCAAGGCTTCAAACTTCTCCCAGCTCTTTTTTTTTCTGCACGGCTTTTGGGATCTGAATTGTTGTTCAGGGATTGAACCATCAGGAATCGAACCCAGGTCCTTGGCAGTGAAAGTGTGGAATCCTAATCACTGGACCATCAGAGAGTGCCCAGCTTTTCCCAGCTTTTCCTTGACCCCCACAACTCACTCTCCATGTGAGGTTTAAAGGAACTGAGAAATACAATCCAAAATGCGCCACTTCCTGAGCCAAACCAACCACCCAGGGACTTACCTTCGCACCTATGATAACATTCATGCTCTAAAAATATCTGTGCTCTGAGCCACAGCTCCAGTGCCCCATGACCTGGCAGTTTCTCGCCCCCCAAGTATACAATCCCCTTCATGCTTTTTATACACTAAGCTCATTATTAACTCAGGGCCTTTGCTCCAATCTGACCTTCTGCCTGGCACACACTTCCCTGCCCCTCTTCCCCCATCTTAACTAGGCTGATTTCTGTCTTTAAGAAAGACAGATCCCAATTCAACATGGATCTCCCAATAAGAACCTACTCTACAGCACAGGAAACTCTATTCCATACTCTGTAATAACCTATATGGGAATAGAATCAAAAAGAGAATGGATATAAAATGCTTGCTCCTTGGAAGAAAAGCTATGACAAAGCGTATGTATTAAAAAGCAGAAACATTACTTTGCCAACAAAGCTCCATATAGTCAAGGGTACTGTTTTTCCACTAGTCATGTATGGATGTGAGAATTGGACCATAAAGAAGGCTGAGTGCCAAAAAACTGATGCTTTTGAACTGTGGCGTTGGAGAAGACTCTTGAGAGTCCCATGGAGTGCAAGTAGATCCAACCTATCAATCCTAAAGGAAATTAGTCCTGAATATTCATTGGAAGGACTGATGCTGAAGCTGAAACTCCAATACTTTGGCCACCTGATGCAAAGAGCTGACTCATTAAAAAAGACCCTGATGCTGGGAAAGATTGAAGGCAGGAGAAGGGGACGACAAAGGACAAGACGGATTGCATGGCATCACCGACTTAATGGACATGAGTTTGAGCAAGCTCTGGGAGATGGTGAAGGACAGGGAAGCCTGGCGTGTTACAGTCCACGGGGTGGCAAAGAATCAGACACAACTGAGCGACTTAACAACAAATATATTAATGACTCGCTTTGCTATACAGCAGAAATGAACAAAATGCTGTAAATCAACAATACTCTGATAAAACTAAAAGAAAAAAAAAAGTGGATCTCTTCACATGGACTCTGCCAAGCCTCTCTTATTCTTTCTAGTGACTGTCACCATCCAAACACCCTTTAGCTCCATTATTTATTTACTGAAATCTCTTGTGCTAAGATAAAGCTGCAACTCCCAGGCAGAATCTCCTGTTTGTTTGGTAAGCAAGTGAGCACTGTAGAACCTCCTTAAATGTGCACCAAGGGAGCGAAGCTGGTTAGAGATCTCTGTGACAACAGCACAGAAACCAAGTCGATCTTATAGATTATGGAAAAAGAGAATTTTTAAAACTGAAAGTAGAAATGCTGAGCTTGCACAGAACTCAAACGATTAGTAGCTACCGCAGACAAAACAGCTGAGGCGTCAGTAGTTCGTCTACTCAGGAATCCACTCACTGAACACAAACCTGACACCCACCAGGTGCAGGGACCGTCCCCCAGTTCCACGAACACGAGATGCGTTAACGACAGTCACCCCAGCTCTGCAGCCTCCCCCGGGCCGCTCACCTTTGGCACCTTGCTTCTCCCGAAGCCCCCGAGCACCAGGGCGTGGGTTAGGGGCCCAGAGGCCTCTTCGGGGGGCGGGCCGCCCCGGCTCTCCCGCGATCGTGCGGCTTCGGCGCCCACGCTGCTCTCCGCCGGTGTCTCCTCACTGCTCTCTGCGCGGCAGAAGCGGGGCCGGGGCAGCTGTCAGCACCACGCGGCCCCGAGTCTCAGGGCCCCGCCCCGCCCCGCCCCGCGAGGCCCAACCTGCGCCCTCCTCCTCGTCTTCGTCGTCGGTCTTCTGCCGCTTGCTGAGGGGCGCGGGCGGGCTCCCCGGCTCCCTGCCGCCCTCGCGCCTCCGAGTTCTGCGAGGCCGTCGCCGCCGCTTCCCCGCCGCCGGCGCGCTCTGCGCGGCCTCCTCGGGCGCTCCCTGCGGCGGCTGCTTCTGCAGCTGCCGCTCTCGGGCCCGGCACTGCAGCCGCTCCAGCAGCGCGCGAGCCCGGTTGTCTGCCTCGGCCTCCGCCCCGGCCGCCTCGGGGCCAGCGTACCGCGCGACGTGGAAGAGCGCCATGCCGGCCACCGAGCGCCTCTCCTGCCCGACTCGGGCCCGGCACTGCAGCCGCTCCAGCAGCGCGCGAGCCCGGCTGTCTGCCTCGGCCTCCGCCCCGGCCGCCTCGGGGCCAGCGTACCGCGCGACGTGGAAGAGCGCCATGCCGGCCACCGAGCACCTCTCCTGCCCGGCGCGCCGCGATGACGGCGGGGCCGGGCGTGACGTCAGGGGCGCGCCAGGCGGCGGAGCGACGAGTCTGGTTTTTCCTGCGTGGGGTGGCGGCATGGAGCGGGACGCCGGCCCCGGGGACGCGCGACGGGCGCTGGGCCACCTAGTGGAAGCGGTGCTGGCCAGCCGCGGCGAGGCCAACGCCGTGTTCGACATCCTGGCCGTTCTGCAGGTGGGGGCATGTGTGGTGTGGCTGGGGTCGCGGCCGGGTCCGCGGGTTAGAGACCAGAATGGGGGTCTCCTCGGGTTCGGACGAAGTGGGACTTGGTCTCAGATGGGGTCAGATAATTGTGAGGTGGAGTCCAGGGCTATACTGGAAGTTTTCTCCAGCCTTGCAGGGCTCTAGGTTGCAGGGGGTCAGGGAGGTTTGGCAGAGGTGGGATGGGAGAGTCACGCCGGGATCAGGGGTGGAGGGTGATGGGGCTGAGGTCCTGGTCGGGAAAGGGAGCAGGGGCCACAGTTCCTGACGGGGCACCCTGCGAACACCGGCATCTCCCCACAGTCTGAGGACCAGGAGGAGATCCAGGAAGCGGTGCATGCATGCAGCCGACTTTTTGGGGCCCTGCTGGCCCGAGGAGAACTGTTTGTGGGCCCACTGCCCTCTGAGGAGATGGTCCTGACAGGTGAGTGTCCAGGAGGGCCTAGTCTTGACAGGGTTGGAGAGGAACTTTGCTGACATGGAATGAGCCCCCCAAACCCACCCCAAACTCCATCCTGGGCCATGCAGGTGGGTGGGATCAGGGGATTGTATTTGGGGAAAGGGATGGGTAATACAGACTTTGAAGCCGAGTTTAAGTAAAGGATGGGTGGGGTGTAACTGTGTCTCATCCCTCTTGTGGGATTTGACGTTGTGGAGTGTTGACCTGTAAGTACCACAAAGATTTAGGTTTATGTGGCTGGTCCTTGGGATGTCTGGGTCTTGGGGTGAAGAGAGAGGGCTTAAGTAGGTCCAAGTAGGACCTGCCCTGCCTGCCTGTGGGAACGTGCTGGTCCCACCCCAGGTCCAGAGCCACAGTGACTCGTTTCCACTCGTTCCCTGGTTGCCCAGAGTAGAAGGCAGGGGGAGGTTGGGGCTGGCACCAGTCAGGGTGTGGGCTGACCACCCTGTCCTGCCTACAGGGTCCCGCGGGGCCACTCTCAAATATAAGGTGTGGATGCGGCACCGGTACCAGAGCTGCTGCAACCGCCTGGGGGAGCTGTTGGCTCACCCCTCCTTTCAGGTCAAGGTGAGCTGGGGTGATTGGCTTTGCCTCTTGCCTGCACCGCCCCTGCCCCACCGTCTCTGCACAGCAGGGGTCTGGGGCTGTGACTGCAGACCCCTCTCTGGGTAAGGATATTCTCTCTTTCTGTGGCTGGTTTCCTGGGCTGTGGGTTCTGTCTCCTGACTCTGCCTGGAGTGTGGTTTTGCAGGCATTCAGGTCTAAGCACCTGTCTGCAGGGGGTAACGTGTGGTGGGTGTGCAGCGTGGTCCCTTTGCCACCCCTCCTCCTAGGAGCTGGCCCTCAGCACACTCATGAAGTTTGTGCAGCTGGAGGGTGAGCACCCGCTGGAGCAGCCCAAGTGGGAAGGCAACTATCTGTTCCCCCACCAGCTCTTCAGGGTGAGTCTCGGGGTCTCCCTCAGCCATCTGTGGGTTGTGGAGTTGAGGGGACTCTCGCAGCTGCCCTAGACTCTGCTCTGTGAGCGCCACCCCTGGGCTGCCTGTCCCGGGAGTGGGAGAGATGCTCACTGCCCTGCCCCACTCCCCACATGCAGTTGGTGGTGGGAGGCCTCCTATCTCCAGAGGAGGACCGCTCCCTGCTCCTCTCCCAGTTCCGGGAGTATTTGGAACACGACGACATCCGCTACCACACGATGCAGGCCGCCTCCGACACTGTGGCCCGGGCCACCGATGGGCGCCCTGAGGTGAGCCGCCTGGGTCCCTGGGAGCAGGGAGGGAGGAGGCAGTGGGCATGCAGCATCCAGGTGCTCAGGCCAGGCCTCTGGCAGGTGCCCCTCGCTTTCTGGAACAATGCCTTCATGCTGCTGTCCTCCGTGAGCCTGCCCCGCCAGGAGGGCACCCTCTCCAGCTTCTATGTGAAACACACAGGTGAGTGTCGGGGGTGGGAGGGTGGGAAGGAGGGGCCCGGCCGGGTCACACATCTGGTGACCCCTTGCATTCCTTACAGAGCTGTCAGACAAGTGGAAGGTCGTTCATCTGAAGGTGAGACTCCCTGGACAGATGGGTGGTTGGCCTTCCTGGGAACCACCTGATCCTGGGCCAGCACCTCCTTCCTAGCCTTGACAGCGGGGTCACAGGAGGACCCACAGGGGAGAGGATGCCCACAGGCACGGTTCCCGGAGGTCAGAGGCAGCCTGCCCAGACCTCTTGGGTGCTGAGTGTTGTCCCAGGGTGGGCTGTGAACCCCAACCCTGTGGCCCCGAGAGAGATTTTCTCTCGCTGCGACTTCTTAGATCCTGTCTCCTACTTACCAGAGGCAGGAGGAGGGTGGGGCGGGATTGAGAACATGGGCGACCTCAACCCCTGCTGCTTCCTTGCAGGAACACAGGAAGGCCTTTCAGCAGATGTGGCTCCGCTTCCTCAAGCACCAGGTAGGGAGAGGGGGAGAGACCCAGGGCAGGGCTCCAGTGCGGGGCTCTCCGAATGGGGAAGCCGGCACCCTGACCTGCTGCTTCCCGCAGCTGCCTCTCCGTGTCTGCAAGAAGGTGCTGGTGATCATGCACGACTCCATCCTGCCCCACCTGGCGCAGCCCAGCCTCATGATCGACTTCCTCACCCGTGCCTACGACATCGGTGAGCAGGAGACTCCCAGCGGGCCCAGAGCGGGACCGGGCATGGGGTGGTGCGCTGCGTTCCTGGATGCTGGCATTGAGCAGGATTGAGAGCAGGGGCCCAGCTGGTCAGCAGTATTTGTGCTGGAGGTTTTTTCCTACCTCCCACCTGGCAGATGGGCTCTGGGTTTGCTGGAATCTCATTCCTGGAGTTGGGGTGCTATTGGGTTGGGGCCTCACTGCTGTATCTATCTGTAGGTGGAGCCGTCAGCCTGCTGGCCTTGAATGGACTTTTCATCTTGATTCATAAACACAACCTGTGAGTGTCTGCTTGGGGATTTGTGGGCCTTTTAGCTCTACTTGACCTGAGCTGGCATTTTTTTAAAAACTTAATTTATCTCTTTCTGGCTGTGCTGGCTCTTCATTGCCACACGGACTTTTCTCTCGTTGAGGCGAGCAGGGGCTACTCTCTAGTTGCCATAACCTTTTGTTATGGAGCACAGGCTCAATAGTCATGGTATATGGGCTTAGTTGCCTCACAGCATGCAAGATCTTCCTGGACCAGGGATCAAACCCGAGTCTCCTGCATTGGCAAGTGGGTTTTTTTTACCACTGAGCCACCAGGGAGGCCCCTGGGCCGGGGTTCCGATCTATCCTCTCTGTGGCTTCTCCCCACACGTGCCGCCTTCACTTACCTCACCCTCTAGGGAGTACCCTGACTTCTACCGGAAGCTGTATGGTCTCCTTGATCCGTCCGTCTTCCACGTGAAGTACCGGGCCCGCTTCTTCCACTTGGCTGACCTCTTCTTGTCGTCCTCGTGAGTACAGGGGTGGGGGTGGAACTGGGGGACACCCGGCCTGGCTCAGTGTGACAGGGGCCACCGGGCCCCACCGAGCTTGTGGGGTGGGAAGGGGAGCTGGGGGCCGGTGCAGGGGGCAGCAGGATCTCACACCCACGGCCCTGCCCAGGCACCTGCCCGCCTACCTGGTGGCTGCCTTCGCCAAGCGCCTGGCCCGCCTGGCGCTGACAGCACCCCCCGAGGCCCTGCTCATGGTCCTGCCCTTCATCTGCAACCTGCTGCGCAGACACCCGGCCTGCCGGGTCCTCGTGCATCGGCCCCGGGGCCCTGGTGAGTGCGGCTGGAGGTGGAGGAGGCCTGACTGCAAGGCCAGTACGTGGGGACGAGTGGAGATCAACCCTGGCTCTTGTTCCTAGAGCTGGATGCCGACCCCTATGACCCCACAGAGGAGGACCCAGCACAGAGCCGAGCCCTGGAGAGCTCCCTGTGGGAGCTGCAGGTGAGGGCACCCTGACTGCGCAGATCACACCCTGAGCTTCCTAGAGCCACCCCCATTGGGGCGCTCCCCCTGGCCACCCGCCCAGCTCCGCCTGTGTGTCTGCCCAGCTCCTTCCTCTGGCTTTTGTCCTCCAGGATCCCATCTTGCCCCATCACTTTGGTTTCCCAGGGGAGTCTTTGTCTCTGTCTGGAGTTTCCACTCTGTCCCCCTCCCTGGGCTGCTGAAGCACTGAGATGTCCACGGCTCAGGGCTGCCCGAGGAAGGCTGGTGAAATCCCATGTGTCCCTCTAGGCCCTCCAGCAGCATTACCACCCTGAGGTGTCCAAGGCCGCCAGCGCCATCAACCAGGCACTGTCTGTGCCCGAGGTTAGCATTGCCCCACTGCTGGAGATCACCGCCTTTGAGGTGAGGGCATGTGGCAGGGCTGCAGTGGAGAGGGTGGGGAGACGGGGGGTGGGGTGGGGTGGCCGTGAACGCACAGCGCAGACTAACTGTCCATCCTTTCCTTGCAGATCTTCGAGCGGGACCTGAAGAAGAAGGGGCCTGAGTCGGTGCCACTGGAGTTCATCCCAGCACGGGGCCTGCTGGGCCGGCGGGAGGACCTCTGTGCCCAGCACTTCACGCTGAGCTGACCCTGTGCACCCTGCTCCCCACCACCCCCCATAAGTGGTTTCATAGGAGAGCTGTTCGGGTGGGCTGGTGGGTGGGGGTCTAGGGAAGCC